TTCAGTTCAGTTCAGTTCAGCCGCTCAGTCGTGTCCGACTCTGCGACCCCATGAATCGCAGCATGCCAGGCCCCCCTGTCCATCACCAACTCCCGGAGTCCACCCAAACCCATGTCCATCGAGTCAGTGATGCCATCCAGCCATCTTATCCTCTGCTGTCCCCTTCTCCTCCTGCCCCCAATCCCTCCCAGCATCAGGGTCTTTTCCAATGAGTCAACTCTTCGCATGAGGTGGCCAAAGTTCTGGAGTTTCAGCTTCATCATCAGACCTTCCAATGAACACCCAAGAAAACACATTAGGATTTAGCTATGTTGGGTCAGTCAGACCTATGGAATTTCCATTTGTTGGTGGGTGGAAACATGGAAATTTTAAAAAGATGGGAGTTAAAAATATAAAAATTGGAAGTCACCTTCTAGACACAGTTTTAGGAACCATGGGGATGGAAGACATTAGGCAGAGAAAGTAAGAGCAAGAGAGTGCAGAATAGAATCCTGACATAGCCAGCATTTAAAAGGCAAATCAGAGATTCAGAGTAGTGCAAAGGCCTAATTTTGCTACTTAGTATCTGTGTCACTTTAAGCAAGCTGATAAAGCATTCTAATTCTCAGTTTTCTTATCTGTACAATGGGTACAGTAAACACAGCATCTTCATAAGACAACTCACATCTCTCTCTTCTGGGAGGTCCAACAGGCCCCTATCAGCTATGTATCATATGGCTGCCTGGTCATATTTTTCTTCTTTTTCTCTAATTTTAAATTGCACAGCCTATCTTACATACCCTGATATCTCTACAAGCCCTTCATGCTGAGCACTCCTAATAATGCAGACATTATTGAACCTTGAAAGAAAATATTAAGGGAGAAAAACAGGCTGTATTTTTCACTTGGCCTTCAGTTTCCTTAAATCTACTCAAAATGCGGGCACTCCTACTTTAAGGGAATCAGGAAAATACAATTCCAAACATCTAAAACAGGTTTAAGGCTGGGAAAACTAAATTACCTCACCCCAAACTGCCATATGCTTAACTGCATTTTAAATGAATCAGTCTTATGGACAGATTTACACCCAGTGGGCTCAGCAATGGTGCTGAACTGATATATCAGCCTGAGCTTTTTATGTGTTTCTCAAATTTCAGGCCATTGAACAATCTGATGCCTGTTGTACTTGAATCTATTGCAAAATGTTTAAAGTCTGTGGCTCTAGTGGTGGCAGACTGACTTACTGATGGACAGTAGTTGGAATGAACGTCCTGTCAGCCCTACAGGGAAACTGAATTTCTAGGAACGACTTTTCCTGGGATTGAGAGGTTTTTCAAGAAAAGGCAAAGGAATTCAGGTTGTTAACCAAACACTTATGGCCTCCCTTTAAAAACAAACACTATTTCAGACAGTGCAAATCCATAAACTTTTCTAGTTCAAGTTTTAAGACACGACATGGGGAACTATCTTATGAGATCAAGTAAAAAATTTAATGTTTTACATTATACACAACATTTTGAAGGCTGTAAAACTTTTTAAAGTAATCTTACTGGTGGAAACTAAACCATTTTCATTTAAGACTTGGTACTTTGACAAACCGTCAGATGACATGGTATAAAGCAAATTAAAGGCTCTACAGATTTGCTTTATTTATAATTTTCCTATTTAACATATTGTTAATGTAACTAACCTAGAGGTCTCAACAACAATTTAAAAAGCCCTTTGATGAGTGATTCACAAGAAGTGACCTTGTTATCAAAATGCTTCCGCACAAAGCTGTTTTAAGTAAAGCTACATTGTAAACAGGGTGGTTGCTAGGCTGACTCAACACACTTATCTATGGAATCTTAGGCTGTCAGGACTAGAAAGCCTTACGGATCATTTTCTTTAGCCCCTTCCCTCATTTTACAGATTAGAAATGCTGAATTTAGTCAAGACTCCACAGCTATTTGGGGCAGATTTAAGATTGGACTTTGAGCCTCCTGACACTACACTCCTCCAGCGTGCTGGGCAGAAGCTCTCAGCCACGCAGAGTGCCTCAGCTGCAGCTTCCTTTCCTGCTCAGCTGGGGCAGAAATGTAGCACCTCCTACCTGAGGTGAAGGTAGTGCTGAGCCCTATTCTACTAAAGTTAAAATTCTTATAAAACCAGAATCTCACAAATGATCAGAAAAAGAACTACATGCCTAAAGTGGTTTTGCTTTGTCAGCAATTAAAGTTCATTGGCTGGATTTTGATAACGCTCGTTTTTTATATTTTTCTTTCTTTCTTTTTTTTTTTAAATATTTAAACTGTTAGACCAGTAAAGAATCATCTTTTCACTTGTGGCAGAAAACTAGCAGAAGAAATAAGCCTAACAGAAAACATTGTTATTTCCTAAGAATACTGCAAAGACTGAAATACAGTTAAATCCAAGTTCCTCAATGATGCAGTTTTCATTCTAATCCACATCCCAAGATGTTATTTATTATTAACACCATTGTCTAAGCTTAAAAATTACCTGGGTAATAATGTAAACAAAGTGCTTCCAACTGGCATGATATACAATTTGCTTTGTGAAATTTTCTTCCTTTACCTTGGAAAATGTCATAATAGATAGTTATAGTCATAATGGTCTCTTGTGTTTAAAATCTGGTTCCTGGAAATGATTCATACATGCCAGCTGTTAGCTTTGTGGTGACATTTTGCAGAAATGTCAGTGACACCTCAGATGCACCTGCTTCTCTTTGGCAGTACAGGTATTTTCCCAACGTTCACAGGGAACAAGCGGCATTACCAGTTTTTTCAGAAACTGTTTCTCCAACCACTACTGAAAGACAGGACAGTGTTCCCCAATATAGACTCACTTTATGGTCAATACATTTGACACGTACAGCAGCTAAGTGAAAATTCAATCCTACATTCAGTTTTCCAAATATAAGGCAAAACTTTACCGAGCAAGATGGAGAACAGCTTCCACTATATTTGAACCATCTTTGGCGCTTGTTTCACAAAATAATGCCCCATAGGTCTGTAAAAAAAACATATATATATGTATATACAATTAAATGAAAGCTTTGATTAGGTTTCCTGGAATGTTCACTTTTAAAATCAATAAAATAAAAATATTCCCCTGTTGAGTATGCTAAAAAAAAAAGTAAAGAAATGGAATCAAAAGTTCAAAAACTAAAAAAAAAAAACACATTTGAGCCTAGTTATTCCAGTAACAGTTCCTAGTCAAAATAATATTTTTAGAAAAACTTTTTATTTTTTATTAGGGTATATCCAGTTAACAAATAATGCTGTCATAGTTTCAAGGGAATAGCAAAGGAATTCAGCCATACATATACATGTATCCACTCTCCCTCAAATCCCTGTCTCATCCAGGCTGCCACATAACACAGAGCAGAGTTTCATGTGCTATACAGTAGGTTCTTGCTGGTTATCCATTTTAAATACAGCAGTGTGTACATGTCCATCCCAAACTCCCTAACTATCCCTTTCCCCCAACCTTCCCCTGGCAACCATAAGTTCCTTCTCAAAGTTTGTGAGTCTGTTTTTGTTTTTTAAGTAAGTTCATTTGTATAATTTCTTTTTAGATTCCACATATAAGGGATATCATACAATTTTTCTCCTCTGTCTGACTTACTTCACTCAGTATGATGCTCTCTAGGTCCATCCATGTTGCTGCAAATGGTATTAATTCATTCTTTTTAATGGCTGAATAATATTCCACCCAATAAGAGAATTTTTATTTTGCATCCCCCCCCCAAAAAAAAACCCCATCCCACTATACAAAATTTCATAGTTTAAGGTTCTTATATTCAAAAGTCACACATGCCACCAAATGTTCTCTATCAGATAACTTGAGAGAGATAAAAATGATAGCTTAAGGTAACCACACAGGAATTAAATGTTCATCAGAAGTATGTCTCCTTTAAGCCAGCAGCTAGCACACTCCTCTTCACCCTATCATCCTTTTCTATTGAGATTCAGCAGCCTTTGTGTTGCTAAAACCAATGGACATTTTCTAGCCCTCTATTATTTAACCTCCCAGTGGTTATACATATAGTCATTGATTGTTATCACTCTTCTGCTTCAGACCTTCTGATGTTTCCCATCCCTCACAAGCAATATTAAAACGCTAACCTGGCTGACAAAGCCTAGGTATGCTTGTATGGGGCCCCAGCCAACCTCCCAGTTCTATCAGTGGCCACTCTCCCTCACAACGCTCAAGTTACCCTGGCCATCCCTCTGTTTCTCCAATGCTGCAAATTTCCTCCCACCTTAGGACTTTTGCGGGCTTCCCTTGTGGTTCAGTGGGTGAAGAATCTGACTGCAATGCGGGACACCTGGGTTTGATACCTGGGTTGGGAAAATCCCCTGGAGAAGGGAAGGCTACCCACTCCAGTATTCTGGCCTGGAGAATTCCATGGACTGTACAGTCCATGGGGTCACAAAGAGTCGGACACAACTGAGCGACTTTCATTTTCAGGACGTTTGCACCTGTTGTTACCACTACCTAGGTTATCCTATATCCTTAGTAACCCCCTTCACCAGGCTGACTTTTACCTACCTTTTCAATTTTTAGGTAATCCTTCCTTGAAGTTAAGATTGTTTCCTAACTCTGAAAAAGTCAGCATTAGGAATTCCTATTACAAAACCTCTTGACATGTATTTTTCCAGCACAGCACTTGCCACAATTGTAATTGATGAAGTGTGTCTTTGTCTAACAAGCTGGAAACAACTCCTTTAGGAAAGGAGGACTGTGTGTGCTGTGGGGCCAGGTGTGGTTTACCTCGTTCCTGTGTGGGACTGGGAGAGGATGTGATGGATACTCTGGAGCAGGGAGAAAGGGAGCAACCAAACAATGGGGAAAGATTACTGTGAAACTTTTACTCATGACCCCCTCAATCCACAGAAATGCTAGAATAAGTCCCCAAATGAATCTTATTTCTAGTAGAAATGGGCAGTGCTGCTGCTGAATTTCATAGTCAGGATGTTATCAGGTGAAATAGAGATGGCCTTTGAGGATGCAGGAGGGTGGCAGACATGAGATGCATAATAAGTAAGCAAACCTTGGGGAATCGATAAGAAATTGTGGAGAAGGAATAAAGTTGGCATGCGGCCAGGAGTGATGGCTCTCTAGGGGGACGAGTGGATTGCATAGGTTTAATGTCTGTCTTCCCTAGACAGTAAACTATGTGAGGGCAAGGATGGTCTCTTTTGTTCTCTATCCTTTGCTCAGCTCACAATAAAGTACTTTTCACATGGTAAATACAATTAAATATGTGTTGAATGGATCTTGTCTACATTTCATTGCCTAGTTTTAATGTTTATCATATTTGGCTCACAGTTATAACATTTAAAATAAGAAACAATTACAACTTAAAATAGGAAAATTGAAACTTCTTTTTAAAGTTCACTTGTTTATGTTATAGAGCAGTCTTTTATTGATGATGACAGACAACAATGATAGCTATGTCAAATCAGACTGTTATAGTTAAGAATTTATTTGACCCAAGGGCCATCTGATTCCTTGTTCGGGTAAAACAAGTCTTAAGAGCGCCACGAAGCATTCTGACACAATGACAGTGATGAGAGAATAAGCACTGCCCCACAACAGTAATCTGAAAAGAAATGAGGGCCATTCCTTATACAAATGCATAACCGAGAATAATTTTATACTGTTCCAATTGAGTACAGATCTTAGAAAAAAGAACATGTCTACCAATTCTCTTCACCCTGTCACCCAGGTGACATACTGCATCATCTGCTGCCCCTTGGCACAGTGACCCTCTGGAACCAAAGTCAACTTTTCAAAACAGGACACCCATTCTTTTTCCTTTACCTGGATCCCAGGACGAGAGGAGGATTCCAGGAACTGGGGAAGAGTGAGGAAGAAGACAGGAGAATTTTGCCTCTTCTTTGTCACTGATACTCAGTGGGAAAAATAATCACATGATTGTTTCACCCCCACAAGGGATTTAATTATTGTTGTTAATTATTTACATTCATGGGGTGGATAGGGGGCACTGGGAATTCTGTCCATGTGAGGACAGAAGACCCATCAAACAGGGTGGAGGTTTGTCAAACACCCTTTTCAGCACACGTAGAGAAAAGTGAAAGACCCCTTCCAGTTTGGACCCACTCTTACTCTTACCATGGCCAGTTTTTCTCCCAAGTACCCTGGGACACATTTTTGTCCCTCTGTTTCAGCAGTGTCGCGAAGATCAGCCTTGTTTCCTACCAACATGATAGGAATGCTCTCATGGGCTGCATCCTACCATGAAGAAAAGAGAAAATGGTGCATACATGAAACATTGGACAAGTTATGAGGATGATGACAACAACAGCTACCATTTCTGAATGCCCCTTGTATGCCACATGGTGTACAGACAATATCTTTAAACTTCAAAATATCTCTAAAAGGAGACAAACTTTTCCCCATTTCCAGACCAGAACACTGAAATTCAGAGAGGTTAAATAAGATGTTGTAAGGGTGAGGGCCGAGGTCCAAGCTTACTCCATCATCCTTGCCATTACAGAAACTGATAGAAACTCAAGACGCATGACCTAGAGCTACATTTAGCTGTGGTGCTCACATAATTTGCTCTAATTTTCACTCCAAACAGAAGTGATAACAAGCCGGCTTCATTATCCCAGGTACAAAACACATAAATATTCCCTCAGCTATGAGGGAACAAAAAAGGGAATCTGAAAGTTCCACCCTCACTGCTATCTGGCTTACGACAAAAGCAAAATACAAAGGCCCTAAAGATCAACATATTTCCTGTGAGGGGTCGATGAGCAATCATTCAAAGTACCAGTTTCTCAGGACAATGCTCCCCAATTAGCATGTGCACACCGTCGCGGCCTTCACAGAGGAGCTGGCTGGCAGACTGGAAGATGTGAGAGGCAGAAATAAGTTTGAGACTCCACCCCTCCCACTACCTGGCTGCTCACCGGCTGTGACTGTGTGAAATCCAGCAAGTCTCTTGCTGTTTCTGACTCCATTTCCCTGTCCGTGAAATGAAGGGGTCAGTAAGCCCCCCTCAGCAGGCTATGACGAGAACAGAAGACTATGTGACTAGAAAATCAGCCTTTTGGCTCCTAAACAAGCGAAGCGGCAGTGGTGACTGACGCGTGGGGAAATGGCTCTTTGCGGCGCCTAAACACAGCTGGGTGCTCACCCACTTTGGTGCCACACATGATGTAGCATCAAAAATGAGCCTTGAAACTAAAATTATACTTCCTTTCTCTTCTGAGCACTTTCCTCCAACAGAATACCTCAGAGTGAAGTAAAAGCAAAGGGCAGAAGGAAATGAAAAGCCCTCCCCGACTAGACACCCCACCCATTAATGTGTTAAGTAAATGCACTCTGTGGGGAACTGCTCAGGATCATATGGAAGCCACTAATCAAATGTTCACTTAAGCCAGCCAAGACTTCTCAGAGCCACATGGGTAAGCAATGGCACCTCCTTCAAGTCTTGACTCAAATATGACCTCCTGGTCTGACCAGCCTGACTGCACTACCTGCAGCACTCTGTCCCACCATAAGGCCGTTTATCCTGGCCTTGTTTTGTTTCTACATCTAGCACTTCCTATCATCCATTTTATTTATTTATGTTGGTTGCCTTTTACATCTCCCTAATTAGAATACAAGCTCCAAAGGGTAGGGCCTTTTGTTTTTTTTTAAATGGATATACTGCCAATACATGCACGAAACAGGGATGCCCAAAATATTTTAGACTAGACACCCCACCCATTAATGTGTTAAGTAAATGCACTCTGTGGGGAACTGCTCAGGATCATATGGAAGCCACTAATCAAATGTTCACTTAAGCCAGCCAAGACTTCTCAGAGCCACATGGGTAAGCAATGGCACCTCCTTCAAGTCTTGACTCAAATATGACCTCCTGGTCTGACCAGCCTGACTGCACTACCTGCAGCACTCTGTCCCACCATAAGGCTGTTTATCCTGGCCTTGTTTTGTTTCTACATCTAGCACTTCCTATCATCCATTTTATTTATTTATGTTGGTTGCCTTTTACATCTCCCTAATTAGAATACAAGCTCCAAAGGGTAGGGCCTTTTGTTTTTTTTTAAATGGATATACTGCCAATACATGCACGAAACAGGGATGCCCAAAATATTTTTCAATGTGTAAAAGTCAGAAAGAGATCTCACGTCTCAAGTGTCTCCATTCAACTTTTACCCAAATATCCAATCAACAAATTATTTATGACAGGTAAACAGCCATAATTTTAAGATTTTCTAACCCAGTGGTTTTCAATTGAAGTATATTAACTATTAATTCAGAGGGTCCATTCACCACTGACACTCTACTGCTTCCCAATCTTTTCATGCATCTGAACTATCTCACTGTTAGTTTTGACCCATATTATAGTGGCCATATAAACCGTCCCAACAGAATTTTCCCAAATGAGAAAAGGTGAGCCATGGTGAAGACTCACTGAGATACGTCAAAGTCAAATGCCAAATGGCATCTCATTTTTTCTCCAGTAACAAATTCAATATTTCATCTTGAATACACTTTTCTCCCTTTTCTGACCCTATGAAAGGTAACACCAATAGCTAAATGAATCACTTACCACAAGTAGGTGCTTACTTATCTAGCAAATTATGGCAGTAGGGCACATGGCATAGGCCATAACTAGTCACATAAGGCTTTTTCAGCCCTATGGCTGATCCTGCCTTTTGTGTCTTGAGTATAATCCAAAGTCTTAAAAGGGAGATCAAGTCCAAAAGTTTCAACAATAAACAGTTTTGCTATAAATCTTAAATATCTATGTGTATAAGTTAGTTGAGATTATCCATTCTTCTCTCGGTCTCCCCAGAGCTTCATCTGTTCCCTCGAGTAGATGCCTCTCCTCTATGCACTAACTACCTTGGAGATCCTTTCTTGATATTGGAGAAGTTTTTCTTAACCTGCTGCTCATTCTGGAGTTTCATCAAAAGAACAACCAGTGTTGAATCAGGAGGTCTAATTCTCCCTTCCACTCCAACCTCTAAATGACTAAAAGCCAGTGTCATGAACTTTCTATGCCTCAGGTTTCTCATAAAAAGTGAGAACAACGTTACATTTACTTCCATTCTCAGATATGTTACAGAGGTGAATATAACATGTAGAAAATTTTGTGAAATAAAAATACATAAATGTCAACATACTTTTGATGTATATATAATTTTAAGTCATGATTTTTCAGTTGGGCAAAATGCATATTTATCACTGAGTCTTATTGCCATTTTTCAGTCAGTCACTTCTTACATCTTTAGTTAGAAAGAGAACATTTTGGTATTTTACAGGGTATGAAACAGGCCCAACTGAAGAATCTAGAGGCAGATTTGAGATCAGGCAGCAGTTCTCTGTTCAGCCACCACTGCACTTAATGCCTGTTAAAACTTATAGATCATAGACATACTTGAAAAATTGTATTAGCCACTAGTGTTTTTTTTCCCCAAGAGACTACACTGAATCATGGCTTGAACTGTAGTTTTACGGTGATTAATAATGTTGATAGCACATTAACTACGGTCAAAATAGTTTCCTACTTTAAAAAATTATTGACCATGAAACAAAGGATATGAAAGCTCCTCAGATGAAAGACACCATCTCATTTGAGCAAAAGAAAGCATAGATAGTAAGTACACATGTTTAAAATACCAATTCGTATGTTAGTAGTACGTTGGGTATGTAAAGACCCAAATCTCGATCAGAATAAGGCTGAGAACATGGTTCCTACAGAATTTGGACCAGGTGGTACCAGGTGGTGATGGTATTTCACCTACACTTCTAGCACATGTGGAAGCCCCTGTTATACCTCCAGTCACACTGCACACCCAGCTCCATCACCCTCTTGTTTGTGAGAACTGCTTTTCCTTGGGTTGTCTGGATTTTCACTTGCTGCCAATCGGGTTCTGATCATATTAAAATCCAGAACTTCTCCCTCTCCCACTGACACTCAGAAGCTCACTTTATTAGTGTCCTTGGTTCTGTGGGAACTGGCCCGCTACTAAGGAGGAGATCAGTGCTGCTAAGTACTATTAGGAACTCTGCCTCCCATATCCAGTTCTTTCTGAGAGCCTGGATCAATGATTTCTGAGTTCATTTTTACAAAGAAGAGAAACAGCATTTCCTGAGATCCAGCCTATAACTCTCCCGTGTAATTTTTCTGTTGTCTGTTTTGATTTCTTACCTCAATCATATCTACCCATTCTCGTACATTAAGAAAGCTTTGCTCACACGTAACATCATACAGCAGCAAAACACCATCTGCTCTTCTGAAGTAAGACTTGGCAATGCTTCTGAATCTGGAAAAAAGCATGAAGGTAACAGTTCTAATCAGTCAGTCAGTTTGGTGTTGCCTCATTCTTCATCTCTTTTATGCTCACTTTTTTTCTCCTCTCATCTTTAAAGCAAGCCTTGGGACTTCCCTGGTGGTCCAGTGATTAAGAAGCTGCTTTGCAATGTAGGGGGCGCAGGTTCGGTCCCTAGTCAGGGAACTAAGATCCCACATGCCTCAGAGTAACTAAGCCTAGGCGAAACTGCTAACCCCTTGTGCCACAACTAGAGTGTCTATGTGCTGCAATGTAAGATCCTACATGACAACTAAAACCCGATGCATCAAGTAAATAAATAAATTAAAATATTAAAAAGAAAAACCAAGCCCAATTGAGAAGAATCTAATGGCAACGTATTTCTGTGAAATAGTCATCCCAGAGGCCTAGAATAACCTAGTGAAAGGTAACAGGAGAAGAATCTGCACTAGTGATTTAGAAAAGTCAATCATTTTCTCCACCAAACAATCTCAAGAAAACCTACAAAGCCCAGCACCTAGTCAGGACAAGGTTGAGAGCATAACTTCTAAAAATGTCAGCCTCTGCAACAAGCTACTGGAACCCAGGTGTGGGACACAGAGAAATATGGAAGGAGAGGCACATCCGAGCAAAATTATTTTTTGGGTGGTGGGTAGGGAGTCCTGTGGGTGGCTGGAAGAAGACCCAACCATGTGGAACACCACAGGGTACACACAGGGGGTGTGGGGGACTTCCCAGGAGAAGAGCACACACCTCAACCTATATGTCCTAACTCAACCAAGTATAATATTTTGCAAGATCTTAAATAGGGCCCTGTCAACCACACATTTTTTAAATGCTGCTAGAAAATATGAGCTCCATGTGGGCAGGTATTTGTGCATCTGTTCACTGCTGAATCTGAACACCCTAACTGGTGTCCCGTGACAGAGGCTGACAGGTGCCCCCAAGCTTTTTTGCTGCACAACCAGGTTCAGTCTGTTCCCAAAGAGGTAGATAAGATTAAGACCTATGCTTCACACTTCTGTCCATCAGCAATGAAAGAGAGAGGGTACTGTCTGTCGCCATATGCAACTCTGCAGTTTAGTTTGTGTCTCTGCCCTTGAACAGAGGAGCTGACGGGTCCTCTTCTCCATCTTCTCTGGTGCCCCAGCTCCCCAGCTGCTCAGCTGTTGCCACTTTCAGGAGTGCTGCCTCACCGACATTCTCTCATTAGGATAGGGCACTCTCTTTTTCCCAATGGGTCACCAGTTCAAAGGGAGCTTGGAGGGACTCACATGACTGATGATGGATGAGTGAAGAAGGAAAGGATGTGGAAAAAAGCGAGCATTCTTAAAATTCTAACACTATAGCAGAACTATATTATCATGAACACAAAAGACACCGAACGTCTTACAAGGCTTGTGCATGCAAACCCCAGCAGAATTCAAAGCACTGGGGAAAGTACTTGCCTCTCCTGGCCAGCTGTATCCCAAAGCTGCAGTATTGTCCGTTCTCCATCTACAATGAGCATTTTCATTTGAAAATCAACTCCTGAAAAAGAATATAAGAGAACATGGAGAACACAATGTAAATAATTCCATTGGATTTTACTTTTCAAGCCCTCTTTAGATGAGACAAAGGCCAAAAAGGTGAAGTTCAGCAAGACAGAGGAAAGAACCTGGCCTTCAATGAGAGTGACCTTCACCTACTAATTATAAGCCAGACCACACATGCACATCACAGGTTGGCTGACTTGGGGAAGGATTTAATCTGTGGACAAAAGGAAAATCTATGTTCTGTTTTCACGTAATTAGATGGACTTAGTTTTATGTGTGTGCATGCACATAAATATGCCTATGTATATATGCAGGTATATCCATGTGTGTATGCATATGTATATAAGTACATGTATATGGTGTGTATATATGCCAGGTGCTCTAGCAACTTAACCAAATACTTTAGGCTTTTTATGACTCAAACTGAAGTGAATCTTGAAGGGTTATAACAGTGCCATAAATTTACAAAGATATCCATTGTGAAGAGGGTAACCAATCTGTTTTAGCGTTTCTGGCTATGAAAATAAGAGTTCTTTAGATAAAGAAGAAGAATAAATGATAATTTGCATATGTTCAACTCCTTTTACTGATTATTATGCAAATGTGGAAATGAGGAGACTACTTTTCCTTGTTCTGAGAGGTATCATTCATGTGTTCCATTGTGAGGGAGCGGAGGGAACATACACTTGGCTATAATTCTGACCATGATGACAAACTGGCCATCGGTAAGATCACTTTATCAACATCAAGTGATACCTGATCAGAAAGGCTTTCCCTGGGCATTCTGTGCCAAAGGGCACTTCTCCCGAACCTTGTTTTTTAAAATGCATTTCTCATCCATTTCCCTCTTTGTGGGCTGGGATCCAGTTGACTTTGTTTACTGTGTATCTGCAGTGCCTGTAGGACTTTACTGGTGGCTCAGTCGGTGAAGAATCTGGCTGCAATGAAGGAGACCTGGGTTGGGAAGATCCCCTGGAGGAGGGCATGGCAATCCACTCCAGGATTCTCTTGCCTGGAGAATCCCCATGGACAGAGGAGCCTGGCAGCTGCAGTCCATGGAGTTTCAAAGAGTCGGATACAACTTAGCGACTAAGCAGTGCCTATAACAGTACGTGGCTCACAGTAGGACTCCAGAAGTGCTTGCTGAATAAATGAATCTGTCATCTCTGGCATTAAACTCGGTTTGGTTGATCTCACTGGGTAAGCAGATACCTCAGTCCCTTGTTAGTCTTCCTTTCCAAATTTAGTCCTTGGCCAAAGCAGAGGACTATTCTATAGAGAAGGACACGTGAGCACTGACACATGTATGTACATATGTATCATACGGAGGGAAAAGAGAGAGATCTGTGGGTCTGTGAATATAATACCTAAAGAAAATAGAATCAACCTAAAGAAGGTCATTTTCCCATTATCCTCTGAAAAAGAACCGTACCCAGGGTAGCACTTGTGTTTCCTCGAAATTCATTCTTGCAAAGTCTCATGAGGAAACTCGACTTCCCCACTGCAGCATCCCCGGCCAGCACAATCTTGAAAGCTTTCTGCGAGCTGGAAGATTTATGGCTCTCATCCACCATGTCTGTCTAGGGGAAGGAAGCCACAGTGGGTGACAAAGGCAGTGCCCGATTTCTTCCTAGTAACTTATATGACATGAAAATGAAGAGTGTTCATGAAGAGAAGTGTCTCTGAAACCACGTACCTGTGGTGAAAGCGCAGAGATGGGCTTTCTTGAGGAGTTAATGACGCTGCCTTCACTAGCAGATCCTGGGGGCTTCCAGTCCAGGATGGAAGCTATGCCTTCTGAGCCATAAGTCTCTTCATCCCTTATATCAGGAACCTGTTTTTTTTTTTTTTTTTTTTAAGTCGGTCATTAAAAAACAAAGAAAGTCTTTCATTACACACATACATTGTGAAATAAAAAGAAGAAAAGTATGCTGCTGAATCAACAGTCAATGCTGTTAGGGAACAGAGTGGCCACAAAAGGAAATCTGTTTTCCTTTTTCCCTAAATTGGTAGAGAAAAATGTTCTCCCAACTACGTTTCACGTGTATAACCTTTGAAACAACGCCCATGACAGGTAAAGCTCAAACAGGGTGGGATATATATTTCTGTGGAAGAAAGGACAGCAGGCCTAGGACTTGAAGCAGTGACTTCAGGGCTTACGTCCGTGTCCGAAGCATCACCCCTAAAGCTCTCTTGCGTGCCGTGCGACCTCTGGAATCCCCTCTGGTGCTTGTACTCCACCTCCGAGTCATACTCGTTGGAATCTCGCAGGGTAGACAAGCCACTGTCGAAGCAGCTCTCAGGCAGGCTGTCAACATCATAATTCATCCTCTGCATGGGGTCACAGAGGGCCAGCGAATCACAGTCCTCATCCATGTAGGAAGAGCGGGATGACCTGGTAATAAAGGAGAGGACTGCTCTACCTGAGGGCTGGTGATGCTCAAGATGACACAGCAATGGAATCAGACCAATGGAATCAAGACCAATATCTTTGTTCTTACCAAGAGCTATAATGTATTCCATGATTAAGCATCAGGGGAAATAAAAAACTCAAAGAAACAGCTCATTCTATGCAAAAATTGGTTGAGATAAAGCCATGTCAGTCAAGTCAAACATTTAATAAAGGAAGTCATTAAAAAAAAGTCACCTTCCTTATACAAAAAGAATCAGAATGTCCAGGATGTAAATGCAATCTCAAGTTGTGTTAACAAAAACGTATACAGAACATGGGAACCTTTATATTCTAATGTGGCTGGACCATATTCTGAACAGTGTGTTCATTTCTGGATAATATCTCTATTGTGACTTGAGACTTAAAAGCCTTCGGTCTGAGAAATGATTCAGTGCACTTGGCTTAAGTTGTAATTGTTTCTTATCTCCTCAAATACTTGGAAGAGTTGACACTAAGGGCCAACTGATAAACTTTTCCAGGAGTCACATCTCTAATCAACATGGTGAAAAATGACAGGCAGTTAGAAATGTACGACCCTGGAATGGTTTGGCATATGAGATGAGTTTTCTGCCACTGAGTGCTGACAGCTCTGGAAAGACTCTGATGAGAGGAGTTTCCTAGGAAGGTGCACCATAGAAAAACTAGAAATCCCGACTTCTATGCATCTTTCCACTTGGGTGACTCCAATATTTTATAAATGTTCATCTTCTCATTTTATTTTGCTTTTCCATTTGATTCCCATAAGTATCTAAGTTTACATTGAAATAAAACAAGAGTAACAACTTATTTAGTCCCTGCTACACATTGGGAACCATACTAGCCACTTGGCATATACGATATCATCAGAAAGAGGAAATGGGAAGGAAACATAGATCTCCAGATATGAGAAATATTCTCATGTGAAATATGAGAACTATTCTCAGATGAATATTCTTACACAAGAAAGGGTAATCTTTACAGAAATATAAGCCATATAAACCTGAGAAGTCAAAAATATTTTGGTATCATTAGCATATGTTTAAAATTAACTAAAAAGGCAATTTAATAACCTAACTTTCTGTAAATATGTTGCTCAATTATAAAGTCTTTCTCCTGCGACAGGAATTTCATACCATATCTCAATCTGCTTAGCTAAATGTGTGTACATTTTTTTAAAATTTGTCTTATCTTTTATGAAACTCTCCTTCTAACACTGATTTTGGGTCAAGCTGTAAGGAACCTATAGAAACCATTTCATTATAATATAGTACAAAATCAGCTCCATGTTATGATTAGTCAGAACATTTTTTTTTAACCTATTTGTATTTCTGATTAGGAATGACAGAGGAAAAAATCCTGATTGAAAAAGACACCTTCATATAGAATCTAAATTAAAAATATAGGTATAGATCAGACTTTCTCAAACTCAACTAATACACATAACCTTTCAAAAGTAAACTAGTCTTTCTGCCTGAAGAATATTTTCATTACAACTAAATATGTAAAAATATAACACAAGTTATTATATATTTTAGAGTTCTTAGAAAAAACACAAAACTAAAACAAATATACAACTTAAAATAAGGACACAAAGGCAATAAATAAAACTAAATTTACAGGATGCTTTGATTAAAAAAATTTTAATTGAAGTATAGTTGATGTATACTATTATATAAATTATAGGCACAGAATATAGTGATTCACAATTTCTAAAGGTTATATACTCCATTTATAGTTATTATAAAATATTGCTATATTCCCTGTGTTGTATAATATATCCTTATAGCTTTTTTTATGCCTAATAGTTTGTACCTTTTACTACCCTACCCCTATATTGCTCCTTCCTCCCCTCCCCACTAATAGCTATTAGTTGGGTCTCTATATTTTTAAGCCTGCTTCTTTTCTGTTATATTCACTAGTTTGTTGCATTTGTTAGACACACGTAAGTCCCAACATCCACTGGATCATCGAAAAAGCAAGAGAGTTCCAGAAAAACATCTATTTCTGCTTTATTGACTATGCCAAAGCTTTTGACTGTGTGGATCACAATTAACTGGAAAATTCTGAAAGAGATGGGAATACCAGACCACCTGACCTGCCTCTTGAGAAACCTGTATGCNACATGGGTTTGGGTGGACTCTGGGAGTTGGTGATGGACAGGGAGGCCTGGCGTGCTGTGGTTCATGGGGTTGCAAAGAGTCGGACACAACTGAGACTGAACTGAACATATAAGAAAAATCATACAGTACTTGTCTTTCTATGTCTGACTTATTTCATTTAGCATAATGCCCTCCAAGTCTATCCATGTTGCTGCCAATGGCAAAAAATGTCATTCCTTTTTTTAATGGATGAGTTGTATTTCACTGTATACATCCTTTTTATCCATTCATCTGCTGATGGACACTTAGGTTGCTTACATATTGTGGCTATTGTAATGCTACTATGAACACTGGGCTGCATGTATCTTTTAGAATTTGTCTTTTTTTTTTCAGATACATACCCAGAAGTGGAATTGCTGGGTCATAATATAGTTCTATTTTTAGTTTTTTGAGAAACCTCTATACTGTTTTCCACAGTGGTTGCAACCAATTTACATTCCCACTAACAGTGTAAGAGAGTTCCCTTTTCTTTGCATACTCATCAACATTTGTTATTTGTGTTCTTTTTGATGATACCCATTCTGACAGGTGTGAGGTGATATCTTATTGTGTTTTTGATTGGAATTCCCCTGATAATTAGTGATGTTGAGCATCTTCTCATATGCCTATTGGCCACTAGCATCCTCTTTAGAAAAATGTCTATTAAGTTCTTCTGCCAATTTTTTAATTCAGTTCTTTGTTTCTTTGATGTTGAGTTGTATAAGTTGTTTATGTATATTGGATATTAACCCCTTATCGGTCATATCATTTCCAAATATTTTCTGCCATTCAGTGGGTTGTCTTTGATTTTCTGATAGTTTCCTTCACTGTGTAAAAGCTTGTAGGTTTAATTAGGTCCCATTTGTTTGTTTTTGCTTTTATTTCCTTTGTTTTAGGAGACAGATCCAAAAACTATTCTATGATTTATATCAGAGTGTTCTGCTTACATATTCCTCTATGAGTTTTATGGTGCCTGATCTTATACTTAGGTCTTTAATCCATTTTGAGTTTATTTTTGTATATAGTGTTAGAGAATGTTCTAATTTCATTCTTTTACATAAAGCTATCTGGTTTTCCCAGGACAGCTACTTTATATATTGTGTTTTCTTCATTGTATATTCTTGCCTCCTTGTAATAGATTTATTGACCATAAGTGCATGGATTTATTTCTGGATTCTCTTATTCCACTGATCTATGTATGTGTCTGTTTTGATGACTGCAACTTTGTAGCACAGTCTGATGTCTGTGAGTATGATTCCTCCAGCTGATATTCTTTTTCAAGATGATGTTGGCTATTCAGGTTGCCCTGTGTTTCTACACAAATTTTAAAATTATTTGCTCTAGTTCTGTGAAAAGTGCCTTTGGTATTTTGTTAAGGATTACACTGTTAGGGATTACATTGACTGTAGATTGCACTGGTCATTTTAACAAAATTAATTCTTCCAATCCAAGAATACAGTATATATTTCCATCTATTTGTGTTATCCTCAATTTCCTTCATTGGTGTCTTACAGCAGTAGTCCCCAACCTTTTGGTACCAGGGACTGGTTTCATTGGAAGACAAGTTTTCCATGGACCAGAGTGGGAGGTATGATTTAAGGATGATTCAAGCACATTACATTTATTGTGCACTTTATTTCTATTTTGTGGCAACCTCAGGATATTTTGCCTTGACTTTAGGGTTAGGGTTCACACTCCTATGAGAATCTAATGCTGCTGCTGATCTGCCAGGAGGCGGAGCTCAGGCAGTACTGTGAGCTATAAATACAGATGAAGCCCCACTCACTCCCCTGCCACTCACCCCCTTTTGTGTAGCCCGGTTCCTAACAGGCTACAGACTGGGGTTGGGGATCCCTGTCTTACAGTTTTCCAAGACAAGTCTTTTATTTCCTTATGTAGGTTTATTCCTAGGTATTCTTATTCTTTTTGATGAGATGGTAAATGAAAATATCTCAATTTCTGATAGTTCACTGTTAGTGTATAAAAATGCAACAGATTTCTGTTAAATTGATACAAAATTAATATGCAAATTACAGAACATACAAATTTGTATATTATGTACTATTATATTATCATAATATTACAAATTTGTAATATACAAATTACATTAATTAAATTAATATACAAATTAATTTTGTATCCAGGAACTTTACCAATTCACTGATGAACCTAACAGTTTTATGGTAGCATCTTCAGGATTTTCTACGTATAGTTTCACATCATCTGCAAACAGTGAGTTTCACTTCTTTCTTTCCAATCTGAAATCCTTTTGTTTCTTTCTCTTCTCTGAGTGCTATGGATAGGACTTCCAAGATCATGCTGAATAAAAGTGGCAAGAGTGGGCATGCTTGCCTTGTTCCTGATTTTAGAGGAATGTTCTCAGTTTTTCATGCTGAGTATGATATTAGCTGTGGGTCCATCATATATGGCCTTTATTATTTTGAGGTATGTTTCCTCTATGCCCACTTTTTGCAAAGTTTTTTCAATCATAAATAGATGCTGAATTTTGTCAAAGGCTTTTTCTCCACCTATTGAGATGATCATATGGTTTTCATTCTTCAACTTGTTAATGTGCTATATCACATTGAAACAAAAATCCTTGCATCCCTAGGATAAATTCCACTTGATCATGATGTGTGATCATGTATGATCATGATGTATTGTTGGATTTGGTTTGCTAATATTTTTTGTTGTTGTTGAAGATTTTTTTGCATCTATGTTTATCAGTGATATTGGGCTATAATTTTCTTTTTTTAGTGATACCTTTGTCTGGTTTTGGTATCAGGGTGACGGGGGTCTCATAGGATGAGTTTGGAAGTATTCCCTCCTCTGCAATTTTTTGGACTAATTTGAGAAAGATAATTGCTAACTCTTCTCTAAATGTTTGGCAGAATTCACCTCTGAAGCTATCTGGTCCTGGACTTTTGTTTGTTGGGAGTTTTAAAATTATGAATTCAATTTCATTACTGGTAATTGTTCTGCTCATATTTTCTATTTCTTCCTAGTTCATTCTTGGGAGACTGTACCTTTCTAAGAATCTGTCCATTTCTGGACAATCCAGTCTGTCTTTTAGGTTGTTCACATTACTGGCATATAGCTGTCTGTAGTAGTCTCTTATAATCCTTTGTATTTCTGTGGTATTGGCTCTAACTTTTCCTTTCTCATTTCTGACTTTATTGATTTGGACCCTCTCTCTTCTTTTTTGATGAATCTGGCTAAAGGTTTATCAATTTTATCTTTTTAAAGAATCAGCTTTTAGTATCACTGATCTTTTCTATATCTTTTAGTTTCTATTTCATTTATTTCTGCTCTGATCTTTATAATTTCTTTTCTTCTACCAACTTTGGATTTTGTTTGTTCCTTCTCATTGCTTTAGGTGTAAGGGTAGGTTGTTTATTTGCGATTTTTGTTTCCTGAGGTAAGCTTGTATTGTATAAACTTTCCTCTTAGAATTCCTTTTGCTGTGTCCCATAGGTTTGGATCATTATTTTTTAGTTTTCATTTACCTCTAGGTATTTTTTTGATTTCCTCTTTGACTTCCTCAGTGATCGACTAGTTCTTTCATAGCATATTGCTTAGTCTCCCATGTGTTTTGTTTCTTTACAGTTTTTTCTTGTAGTTGATTTCATCTCATTGTGTTGTAGTTGGAAAGATGCTTGATATGATTTCAGTTTTCTTAAATTTACTGAGGCTTGTTTTGTTTTCATATAATCTATCCTGGTGAATGTGCCATGTACACTTGAAAGAATGTGTATTATACTACTTTTGGATGGAACGTTCTCGCTATATCAATTAAGCCATCTGATCTAATGTGTCATTTAAGGCCTATGTTTCCTTATTGATTTTCTATCTGAATGATCTGTCCATTGATGCAAGTTAAAGTCCCCCACTACTATTGTGTTATTGTTGATTTTTCCTTTTTTGTCCATTAATATTTGCTTATATATTTAGGTGCTTTTATGTTGGACTTCCCTGGTGGCTCAGATTGCAAAGCGTCTGCCTACAATGCGGGAGACTTGGGTTCAATCCCTGGGTCAGGAAGATCTCCTGAGAAGGAAATGGTAACCCACGCCAGTATTCTTGCCTGGAAAATCCCATGGATGGAGAAGCCAGGCAGGCTACAGGCCATGGGGTCGCAAAGAGTCGGACACGACTGAGCGGCTTCACCTTCACTTTCACTATGTTGGGTTTAGATAAATTTACAATTGTTGTATCTTCTTGGATTCATCCCTTGATCATTATGTAGTATCCTTTTTGTCTTATAGTCTTTATTTTAAAGTCTATTTTGTCTGATATAAGTACTGCTATTCCAGCTTTCTTTGGATTTTCATATTTATGGAAATCCTTTTCCCATCCCTTCACATTCAATCTGTGTGTGTCTCTAGATCTGAAGTGAGTCTCTTGCAGGCTGCACGTATATGGGTCCTGTTTTTATATCCATTCAGTCACTCTAAGTCTTTTGGTTGAAGTATTTAGTCCATTTACATTACCACATTATTGACGGGGTGATTTTAGCAGAAACTAACGTCTATGGCTGGGGATTGGTTCTGTAAGTGAACGTCAAAATGTCTCTTGTCAGTAATGTTTGGGTAACAAAAGACATATAAATATGTCTCTGGTCAATAATGTGCTAAAGTAATTATCAATGTGAAGAATCTTCCTGCCAAGCAGGAGACATGGGCTCGATTCCTGGGTCAGGAAGATCCCCTGGAGAAGGAAATGGCATGCCATTCCAGGATTCTTGCCTCAGAAATCCCATGGATGATGGAGCCTGGCAGGCTACAGACCATGGGGTTGGAAAAGAGCTGGGATATGACTTAGTAACTAAACAAACAAACAAAAACAATCTTATTGTCATTTTCAAGGTTATTTTGGTCTTGTTTTGTAGGTCTTTTTTCCCTTTCTTCTTCTTTTGTTCTTTTCTCTTGTGATCTGATGACTAATAAGTTTTACATTAGCATCAAAAAGAAAAGAAAATATTAACTTCCTATATCAGACTGCAACGCCCCCCAAAAGGAACATCAGTCTGGATCATGGTGGCCCTCTAGTGACTGTTCAAGGTTATGAGCACAGAAGTGCTACATTCCTATCACTTCAAGGCAATGGGATGTGATGACTGTCTCTTAGTCATATTGCTAAGGAGCTCTTTGTTTAGTACCACCAGCCTTATTCATGGTGTCCACTATTTTCAAAAATGAATCATGGTGAAATTTCTGAAATAATTTTCAGTAATCTAGCCTTTCCCTTATTTGCTTAGAACTAACCTTAAGCATTAGTAAACAAAAACAGCATCACACCCATATATTTTAAAAAGTAATATCTATTTCTCGAAAATAGAAAAGCAAGATGCCTAGAGATACCATTAAAATTTTTTACTTCACAAATCAGTGAAAAAATTCTGATATTTGGATAAAATTTTATTAAAAGTGATCACCAATAACCTTTGAAAATAGACATTCTGGAAAAGCTATCTGGCTGTCTTGCTGTTGCCAGGATATTAAGTGCATTACTCTTTAGCCCAAAAGTTCTCAAATGAAAAGGGAAGGAACATAAAATATGAAAGTGGCGTCAGAAATGGAGGGCCAGAGATCTAAAGTTTATGCACTCACTTCTACCATCAAATTTTGATACACTACAAAATGAGCCTTCTAAGTAACAACACTGGACACGTATGGTAAATCTCCTACATATGAACCTTCAAGATGTGGACTTTCAAAGATGTGAACATACATTTCATCAATGTCAGGCATGAGTGAAATTGCCCTCCATCTCCCATTGCTGACAATCCTTCAGATCTACCATCTCCCACCTCCTCTCTTATCTCCAGACAGTAACTCTTCTTACCTGTTCACTCACTGCCAGCCCCTGTATGCCAGCTGCTGTACTTACTACTGTACTTTCCAAAGTACTGGATTATAAATTAAAAATGTTTGCTTTATTTTTTAGTTTGCTTTTTATGTATTATTTGTGTGAAAATATTATAAACCCATTACAATATAGTATCATAGAGCAGGTTGTATCAGTTGGGTACCTATGCAAACTTTGTTAGACTTATGAACAAACTGGACTTGTGAATGCGCTCTTGGAGTGGAACTCATTTGCATATAGGGGATTTATTGTATATGTACACACATGTGTACACAAATGTAATCTTTCAGTTTTCATTGCTAGATCTTAAGTTATATCAGGGCCAATATTTCACTTCATTTGATTAAAAATAGAGCTAAATTCTCACTTCTGGAAAGCCTCTGTGACTCCTTTAGTACATTAACTCATAAGCATCTACTCTCTACATTTCTATTTGTTTTGAAAGTTTCCCTTTCCTTGAACATAGCTTGCACAATATATACTGAGCTGCTAAACATTTACAGATTGTTCCAAGAGTCTTAAGATTATACACCACAACATCACATATGGTAGTTCCACTGGCTTCCCTGAAACACCTCTTACAAAGGGCACTTCTAAGAAACAATAGAAATAATAGGGATGAAGTAAGGGTGAGCATACACAAAACCAAGTCATGATAACATCTTAAAGAAATCACTTTGCCCCCTCTGAAACATTTCAAAACACTTAATCTTTACATATTTCATGTTTCAAAAATTTACAGATAGTAGAAAATAAAAATTAGTGACCCAAATATATTCTTTTAATTCACCTCTAAGGAAATCTACTTTCCTTTTAACCTTGATCCAGAATTCAAACAAAAAGTTTAAAAGGTGTTAACATACCTGTCATAGCCCAGAGGTTGAGGAGAATGAAGATTAAATTTAGGACTGCTTCTAGAAATTGTATTCCCTGGTGAGATATTATTTATGCGCTGTAATACATAAAATACAGAAGTAATATTTTGTCATTCCATTAAAAAATTTTATATACATTGAAAAAAACCTGTAGCACACTAATTTACTAATGTAATCGAGAAATCGGTATCCTACATGAGAAAATGTAAGCACAGATACCAAGGGAAAAAGTGCAACAAATGCCCAAAGGACTCTCTCTCTTCATGTCTGAAGTCCAAACCCTGCCATATAAGCCCTCAAGGGGCATCCTGGCTCCCAGATTTGCCAGGACCCTAACAGTACCAGCTTTGGATTAGTCTCTTCTCTAATCATCATTTGACTTAGTGACTGACTCATCCACACCCAGAGCTTTGGCACTGGAACCCCAATCTTGAAACCTCCAAAAGTCAGGGAAGAGGCTTTCTGGTTTGGAAAAGGTCCTCAAAATTCTAAATGGGCCTTAGCCTGTTTCTGTAGGAGGGTTTAAAAGCCCAAGGTCTCCACTCTGGTGATCTCATAACCACAAAGAACAACCAAAGAGTCTAAATACACTCCTCAGCCAGAAGCACTCTCCCTGTTCTCTCAATAGGGAAATAGTTATCTGTACCTCCATGAGGAGAAGGGGACAACAGAGGATGAGATGGCTGGATGGCATCACCGACTCAATGGACATGGGTTTGGGTAAACTCCGGGAGTAGGTGATGGACAGGGAGGCCTGGCGTGCTGCGATTCATGATGTTGCAAAGAGTCGGACACGAGTGAACTGAACTGAACTGAGACATCTCACTTTTTATATTAGTGGTATCTGTGCACATCCTAACTCACTGCATGCGTGCAAAGTTGTGTCCGATTCTTTGCAGCCCCATGGACTGTAGCCCGCCAGGCTTCTCTGTCCATGGGATTCTCCAGGCAAGGAAACTGGAGTGGGTTGCCATTTCCTCCTCCAGGGGATCTTCCTGACCCAGGGATGGAACCCAGGTCTCTTATGTCTCCTGCATTGGTAGGAGGGCTCTTTACACTCACACCACCTGGGAAGCCCCCTCAAGTCCTTACCATACTGTAAGCTTTTCCAGCATCCAGGCCACACCTTTTACACCTTTCTCTAGTTTTCTGGAACACTGAACAAAGAGTTGGCAAACATCTACACATTTATTTATGCAGAGGATTGGCATATTTTTTAATTTGGGAAAATCTTGCCTCCTTTTATTATATGAAATTGTTTTCTCATTCTTATAAGTTCTAAGAAAATACACAATTTTTTAATCAAAATACCACAAGAAAGGAGAAAATGCATTATAAAATCCTGTTGCATACCAAGGATCTGTTGAACTTGCTGTAGCTGTTCTCAAGGGCACTCCTCAGGCCGTCGTTACTGTCATGCAGTTTCCTGTTAGCTGTTCTACAGAGTAAATACATACAATAAATAAGTAGATAAGGAAAGTATTAGTGGGATCAATGTCACCACTTTCTTTTCAGGCTGTGATGTTCAATTACCTCTTGTAACTGTCTACCACTTCCCTTCAAATCTTCTAAACTGAGATCATTAATTCATTACTAGAAGTGCAACTTAACATTATGTCAACCCTCTTTAAAGGTCTCCAGGCATTTTAGGAGTGAGTCAGTCATGCTGTGGAAGCTGCTTCTCCTTCAGGGAGCTCCACTGTTAAGACAGGTTTGGTGCAGGCCTTACTGTTCCCTAAAGGCCTAAAGCCAGCCCGTCCTACCTACTCTTTCTCCCCTCCATACTGGGGGATAGATCTGCTGTGTTCTGTCACACTTCTTTCTCCTGGCTCCTCCTACTTGTGGCCTGGTACTGTACTCCCAGGCACGTTATGTACCAGTTAAAAGCTCCAATGTTACAGCTACATGTAAAAAAAATGAAATTAGAACACCTCCTAATACCATACACAAAGAGAAACTTGAAATGGATTAAAGACCTAAATGTAAGACCAGGAACTATAAAACTCTTAAAGGAAAACATAGGCAGAACACTCGATGACATAAATCAAAGCAAGTTCCTCTATGACCCACTTCCTAGAATAATGGAAATAAAAACAAAAGTAAACAAGTGGGACCTAATTAAACTTGAAAGCTTTTGCACAGCAAAATAAGTACAAATAAGGTGAAAAGATAACTCTCAGAATTGGAGAAAATAATAGTGAAGGAAACAACTGACAAACGATTCATTTCCAAAACATATAAGCAGCTCATAAAACTCAATACCAGAAAAACAAACAACCCAATCAAAAAGTGGGAAAAAGACCTAAACAGGCATTTCTCCAAAGAAGACATACAGATGGCTAACAAAGACATGAAAAGATGCTCAACATCGCTCATTATTAGAGAAATGCAAATCAAAACTACAATGAGATGTCACCTCACACTGGTCAGAATGGTCATCATCAAAAAGTCTACAAACAATAAATGCTGGAGAGGGTGTGGAAAAAAAGGGAACCCTCTTGCACTGTTGGTGGGAATGTAAATTGATAAAGCTATGAAAGACGGTATGGTGATTTCTTAAAAAAAACTAGGAATAAAACTACCACATGACCCAGCAAGCCCACTTCTAGGCATATACCCTGAGGAAACCAAAACTGAAAAAGACACATGTATCCCATTGTTCATTGCAGCACTATTTACAATAGCTAGAACACAGAAGCAACCTAGATGTTCATCGACAGATGAATGGATAAAGAAGTTTTGGTACATATACACAATGGAATATTACTCAGCCATAACAAAGAACACATTTGAATCAGTTCTAGTGAGGTGGATGAACCTAGAGCCTACTATACAGTGTGAAGTAAGTCAGAAACAGAAAGTTAAATTTAGTATACTAACGCATATATATGGAATCTAGAAAGCTGGTACTGGAGAATTTATTTACAGGGCAGCAATGGAGAAAGACATAGAGAACAGATTTATGGACATGGGGAGAGGGGAGGAGAGGGTAAGATGTATGGAAAGAGTAACATGGAAACTTACATTACCATGTGTAAAATAGATAACCAGTGGGAATTTTCTGTATGACTCAGGGAACTCAAACAGGTTTCTATAGCAACCTAGAGGGGTGGGATGGGGAGGGAGGTGGGGGGGAGGTTCAAGAGGAAAGGGACATTTGTATACCTTATGGCTGACTCATGTTGAGGTTAGACAGAAAACAACAAAATTATGTAAAGCAATTATTCTTCAGTTAGAAAATAATTTTAAAAAATGCTCCAATATTGACTCAGGGTTCAAACCCCAACTCAGGCACTTACTTTCCATATATCTTACAGAAGCCATTTAAACAGCCAGAGTCTCAGCAACCTCTAAAATCAAATAGTCTCTTCCTTAGAGACCAGCTACTCTTTCCCTGCTTCAGGTTTATTCATCCTTCAGAACTCAATTCAATTGTTTCTTCCTCCAAAAACACTTCCTGGACCTTCCTGGGTAGGAGAATGCCCTTGAGATACATGGCTCCCCTTGGCCCTCCTCTCTCCTTTGGCACATTATATTTAGAAGACTGATCAGGTTCCATCTTCTTCCCCTAGACTAGCCTATAAGGAGAGAGGCTGAGTGCCTCTCTGAGTGTCAGCTCCTGGCATACCTGAACCATCAGTTCAGTTCAGTTCAGTTCAGTCGCTCAGTCGTGTCCAATTCTTTGCGACCCCATGAAACGCAGCACACCAGGCCTCCCTGTCCATCACCCACTCCCGGAATCTACCCAAACCCATACTTGAACCATAAAAGGTGCCAAATGAAAGCCTGCTGAATAAATGAATACATGAATTAACAGGATTTTTGTAACATATCAATTCTATCAGTGCCACAGGTGAGGCTTAATAAGCATTTGTAATGGTGAAACAATCATCAAGCCTGACCTGATATTATCTGGGGGAAGTAAAACCAGAAGAAAATATTGCCTGGGAGAAAAGAGAGAAAGGGATCAGGGATAGGGGAGGTTTTGTCAGTGAGGTCCTCAGAGAATGGATTCTGAAGCTTAGCTGCAGAGCTGACAGAACAGGTGTACTATTTCCAAGAGATTTTGAAAAAAGAAAAACATATTGCTAACCAGGCACAATAAACTGCGTGAGAACGATCGTGTATGCCTGGTGATGTGACATGCACTGTGCGGGATGCCTGAAACCTCTGTGTGCGGAGCTGCACAGAAAGCAGATGAAGTCAGGGCTGTTGTTCTTTACAGTATAATAAACGTATTATAAAGATACGCTGGGCATACCAACCTGATTTAAGAGGACTTTTAGAGAATTATAATCTCGTTCCTGGATTGGAGGAGTTTATGCAGGAATAGCAGCATCAGAAAGCTAAACTAATGTGCTAAAGTCACCACATCAAGAAGATGTGTGGATCTCCTGACCCAGCCTCTGATATATGGCAACTCGTGTTATATGTGGCACGTGTTTTACTAACAACACATAAGTTAAATGTAAGTGTGATGAGAAATATGAGAACTTACTGGAGTATTTCAATTTGCCTCTCAAGACTATTTCGATCTTCTGTGTATTCTCGGATTATTTCCAGATCCCTGTAAAATTACATTTTATGTTTGAATGAGCATTAGGTGTTCAGTCGTGCCTTACCTGTACCTACTCTCTCAGACTCCCTTCCACCTCTTCCAAAGTCCTGTGTCCTTGACCATGGTTTCTATCTCTCCACGCTCCTGCTCAGGTCCTCTGAGTCCAGTAGCAGCCTCTTCTCCCCTGTGAGCCGCAAGCATACCCACACCTCTGCTTCCTCCTGCAACGCTCTGCTTCCTCCACTCCCCCTTGCAGCATCCACAGCTCCTCCACCCCAGCCCACTGTCCTGGCTCTGTTCCTTACTGGGACTGAACCTCTGGCCTTCTATTAAGCCTGCTCTCCACAGGCGCTCACATTACCCATTCAGCCCAACCCACTCTCTCACCTCTGACTCTTCTCTGCTCATTCCAAGCCTTACGCAACCCCAATCCCAGCTATACTAATACTCCTTTCTTATCTCTGTGCTGCAAGTCCTGCTGACCCTCCCCTCTGCACCCTAAGCCACGAAGGGATTCTCAGAACCAGGCTTTCTCTGTTCACTATAAGCTCATGCTCAGCAAGTCCTCTGTTGCTCTATTACAAAGCAGTGCTGGCCTTCTCCTTAAAATGTCCATTCAGAACATCAGCCACTTCCTTCCAGGCCCTATCCCACCCCAGCCCCATTTCTAAGCAGACAATCCCCATCACTGTCTTCCCCAGACCCTCAGGCTGTCAGATTTTGTCCATAACAACTAACTTGCCCATTTGCACTCTTGATAAGGCTACAAGTTTACCAATTGTCTCTAGGAATTTAAGTTCCTTAGCCAAAAATTCTGGGACCTTACATTACAGCCTTAAACTAGTTTTAAAACCTTTTAATTTTTTTAAACTTTAGCCTTTCCATTCAAAATATCTTTTTCTGTCCACTGGCCTGACCACTGTTCCCCAAACCAGTCATATCCCTCCTTATGTCCTTGCCTCTGCTTTGGGTTTTGCCACATATGGAATGTCTCTGAGTCTCTTTTTCCATCTGTAAAATGGGGATAAGGAAAGTTCCTATTGCATAGGAAACTGTGACTGAGTTAATGCTAATGAAGTACTAAAGACAGTGTCAGGCAGTTGTCGGTAGGACCTGTGTTACTTGTTGACAAGCTAACTCAAGTGTCTCTTCTTTAATTAAGTATCCACCTTTCTGAACTAAAAGAACACTTTGTCTACCATCTCATGGCAATAAACCCAACATGTGACACTGCTGGTGGTATCGTTTCTGACATTGTTGAGTTCTTATGCTGTTTAACTCAGTAACCTTTTACCTTTTAAGTTTCCCAACTAAATTTGAAGTTCTCAAAGAGCACAGGTCACATCTTTTCTTTTTTTAAAATGTACTCCACACTCATAACTCCTTATCTAGCTCAGGGACCTGTATATAGTAAGCACTTAATAAATGTATGACTGCTTTTCACTGTGCGTGTGCATGCTCAGTCATGTCCGATTCTTTGCAACTTCAAAGACTGTAGCTCACCAGGCTCCTCTATCCACGGAATTTCCCAGGCAAGAATACTGAAGTGGGTTGCCATTTCCTACTCCAGGGGCTCTTCCTGACCCAGGGACCGAACTCAGATCTCCTGCATTGGCAGGTGGATTTTTTACCACTGAGCCACCTAAGGAAGCTTTTCATTACATGATCTTAATTCTGAATAAGGTTGGCGAAACAACAAACAAAACACAAGGTATTTTTCTCAAGTGTACACGTACTAGGGGATACATGCATATACTCATGCATATAGATGCATTTTTATATTTACAATACTCCTATATAAATATCTATGTGTATCTTCCTTGTGTATAATTACATGCCTTTGTGTGTACATGTGTGTGTTAGATCCTGTATTAACACCATATTGCAAAACTAAAGCATAGTAAAATAAAATGACTTGCCTAAGATGTTTAGTCTTCCATTATTTTTATGTTACAGGGCTGGAATTTCTACCTTCAAAGCACCTCAGTTAGCACTGCCTCTTGATACTTTAGGTATATTCTTCTGCTCCCATTTAATTCAAACATTTCTAAGCCCTGCACTGTTCTGAGCAGTCAATAACTAAACTAGCTAATCAGTTTGTTTTTAAAAATTAAAAACACAAAAATCACTAGATCTGACATTAAACATAAAATCTTTAGAAAGCAAAGAAAATATTAGCAAAGTTAATAAATAACCCCTTATTACTACATAGCTAAGCTTCATTCACATGGATGTTACCCAAATAAACATTCCATTCAAACTACAAAGTAAAATGTGAAGTTTCATACCTTTCAGAATTCAGACTCTGATCAGCATAATCACTTTTCAAAGAATCTAGTTCACTCTGAAGAAAGGCTATGTTTGTCTGTGCTTCTAAAAGATCTTTCTTAACTTTCTGATTTTCCTAGAGGAAAGGAACAGTGCAGGTCATTAGACGCAGAGTTTCTTCCACAGGGAGATGTGAAGTCAAGTACAGTGTAACTTTCCCACATGTTACTCTCACCCCTCCACAGTCTTCAAACCTTGCTGTTCAAAGAACTAATTACCAATTCAAGGTAATTTTAAATTTTAATAAAGTATTAAAATGTCAAAATTAAATCCTCAAAGTTGATGTTGTTGTTGTTCTTCTTTTTTAAATACTTGGGCATTTGGTGCAAAACTTCAACAGTAAGAGTTTATCATGATGATACTTTAACATGTTATTGGTAAAACAATGGAGACCAAACATTTAAACATCTGCTTTACTTAATGAGAGCTGTGGAATTACCGATAGTCTGTGGAATTGACAGTATCTATTACCAGGTAGACGGGCTACTTTTCATAATAAATCCTATCACCTAACATTGTTAAATTTTACACTTAAAAATGCACCTGTGTGGTTAGGAAATTTCTATATTTTTCTTAAAAACAAAAGAGAAAGAACAAAAAAAAAATCACTGGAAGTTTCTGGTTAAATATGGTAGAATGGGCACATGAATTAGTCTTCTTTCCCTTTTGAGACCCTATTAACATGAAATACCAAAGGAAATAAACTAATAAAAGTTAAAAGAATGAAGAGAGGCCAGTCAACAGTCAAGTGATCTAAAAACATTGCTGGAAAAAGGAAACTGGATGGCAATGCACTGACAAAGGGAAGAAACAAGGGGAAAAGGAGGTCCAGATGATAGGTGTTGAAGGTTTTGCTGTAGTGCAGAGCCGAGGCAACTGGTCAGGCAGAAGCCCAGAGAGTGAGAAGAGGGCTGAAAACAGAGATTAAAATTATATATTAAGTCATGCTGCCTCTCAAGCCCATACCTGCTCTTACTCTAGGAAAGAAGAGCAGAAAGCCAGAACTGATTCCAAAGGCAACAAGTTATTTAAAAATAACTGAATGATTCCCCAAAGGAAAGCTAAGGCTTCTCTTTGTACATATCCATGCCTCATGCATATGGTAACTGGGGTTCCACGTCTGACAGACAGCTTCACATACAGAGCTCCAAGGAGACTGTCTTTCAGAAGAGAAGCCCTGAGGTAACCAGATCTATTTGCCGAGCTGCACAGGAATCATACATAGGCTACCTGAAATGGTCAGAAATTCCAAGGTGACATCTGGGTAGCAAGCTTAAAAAGCAATCAATCCAATAAGAATTGAAATCTCCTGGACTCCAAAACTTCTCCAATATTTTCAGGAGAAGAAAAAACAAATTCCAGTACTGGAAAGAACAGATAGAAGTTGCAGAGAGTCAGGGATATGAAGGTGGCAGAATTTCTTTTTGTAAGTAACTAAAACCCCCACCAAGAGAATCCAAGAGAAGTAAGCAACTCTTTAAAGTCATGATTCAAGCACAAAACCAACCAAGAGGTAGCAAAACCTGGAACTGGTAGTGAATACATGGATCCTAACCCCAAAGCTGGGGTGCCTTCTCTTTTTGAGTGGCACAGGGATAATAACTGGAGAGAAATAAATGCGATTCTAGCTCATTCATGCTCACTTCTTGGCTCTGCAGGGGAGAATATTTAGATTCATAATAAAGGAAATGTTCATTATTGGCTTTCAGTGTTTGAGTCAACCTGGAAACTAAAGAAAATGACAATGATGAAACAGATATAGATATTATCAGTTCTGGCAACAGAAATACTAGAGATATTGTCAGCAGAAGATGGAAAGCGACAGCAAGACGAAGGATAGGGCAATAAGACCTCATCTTACAAAGCTAGGGAAACAGATCTGAGTTGATGTTATATGAATGCAGGGGTTAACTAATAAATGTTTAAAGGCCACATAATCATTGCTCTGAGTAAAAAAAAAAGCATTTACAATAGGTATTATGTAATAGTCCAAGGGAAAGTCTGCCAAAAATGTAACACCTTTAGTCACAGGTATTTCAAAGACTCTCTAACTGTAGTACTAATTTCTCTTTAAGTTTTTATTCCTGGAACACTGAAATCATAGCACGATTTTATTTAAGAAACAGTAGTCTAACAGGAAATACATTACTGAAAATGAAAAGGTAATTCTTACCATTGATAAGTCATAAATTTGTTTCTTTAATGCAGCCACATCTTGTTTCTGACTTATGTGTTTTGATTGTTCTTCTAGCTGAAAGAGCAAGTAAAAGTTGAGCATTTACAAACTCACTTTTAGTTGGTTCCACTCAGTTTAGGAATATATTCACGTTCAGATATGGGAATTTTAACGTCTTCAATTTTGAACATTATACAACCACATAAATCATTAAATTAGGTATAATCCATAAGAATTTGAAAATTTGCTTTAAATTAATTAAAATATTTGAAACGGGGGTTTATTTATTTATTTTTTGCCAGGTCCTACTTTAAAAAAATTATGTATTTTAATTGGAGGCTAATTACTTTACAATATTGTGGTAGTTTTTGCCACAAATTGACATGAATCAGCCATGGGTGTACATGTGTCCCCCTATTCCAAATCCCCCTCCCACCTCCCTCCCCATCCCATCCCTCTGGGTTGTCCCAGTGCACTGGCTTTGAGTGCCTTGTTTCACGCATGGAACTTGGACTGGTCATCAATTTCACATATGGTAATATGTGTTTCAATGCTATTCTCTCAAATCATCTCACCCTCGCCTTCTCCCACAGAGTCCAAAACTTTGTTCTTTATATCTGTGTCTCTCTTGCTATCTTGCATATAGAGTTGTCGTTACCATCGTTCTAAATTCCATATATATGCATTAATATACTGTATTGGTGTTTTTCTTTCTGACTAACTTCACTCTGTATGGTAGGCTCCAGTTTCATCCACCTCATTAGAAATGACTCAAATGCATTCTTTTAATAGCTGAATAATATTTCATGTGTATATGTACCACTACTGTCTTATCCATTCATCTGCTGATGGACATCTAGGTTGCTTCCATGTCCTAGCTATTGTAAACAGTGCTGAAATGAACACTGGGGTGCATATGTCTCTTTCAACTCTGGTTTCCTTGGTGAATATGCCCAGCAGTGGGATTGCTGGGTTGGATGGCAGTTCTACTTCCAGTTTTTTAAGGAATCTCCACACTGTTCTCCATAGTGGCTGTACTAGTTTGCATTCCCACCAACAGTGTAAGAGCCTTTTTCTTCTTTTCTTCTCTGACACCAGTGGTTACCAGCTATCACAGAGTTCCTCGAGGAGCCAGGCATGAAGCTTGGACGAGCATAAGAATTCACAGTGGGACTTCCGCAGGGTAGAGCAGCAGGTGGTACGGAAAAAAGAAGCCTCAGCAGCAAACGGGGAGGGCAGGGAAGCTGGACCTCTGCTTGGGAAGGCAAGGTCACGCCCTTCTCTGGCCTGAAGGTGCATCCCACCAGTCACCTCCAGCCACATTATCTTCTTTGTGAAAAGACAAACTTTTGAAAGACTTTTTAAATTAAATTTTTTTTAAAGGTCTCGATGGAACCTCTCAGATGGTAAAGTGGCTGCCTTCGATGAAGGAGACCTAAATTCGATCCCTAGGCTGGGAAGATCCCTTGGAGAAGGAAATGGCCAGCCACTCCAGTATTCTTGCCTGGAGAATCCCATGGACAGAGGAGCCTGGCAGG